GGACAAAAAAGGCAATTATTCATATCACACATTTGTTTCCTGGCTCCTATTCAGCAATAACTCATGCAGGTACTAAAAACCATTCACTAAACTCTACATTTAAAATCAGCAAGCCTGAATACCATCCTTCAGAGAGTTTTATAAAGAGTTATAGACTCAGATCCTTGAAAAAACTCTGAGTTAACAAAGGTTTCAAGCTTTTGGGATGTTAGAACGCAGTCAATGTGGGACTGAATGCCAACCCAAAGGATGGCAGCACAACTCGACACAGCAATAATAGTACCATGCAAAATGAGATCCTAAGCTATCCCAATAAAATTAGTGGTGTATCACACAGAGGCATCAGGCTGGCTGAGAAACTTAAAGAATATCTTTCAATTTCCATCTCTGCAAACAATTTGACGAATGTTATCTAAAACAACAGTACAGCCCAGCCCGAGGGTGTGCAATCCACTAACCACTGGATTCCAAAGTCAAAGAACAATAGACAGAAAACTGACAGAAAGCCACTGTTACCCAGTAAACCCCACAACAGGGAGAGCACAACACTTATTTTTATGTGGGTCTGGAAGAAAACAGCATATTTGATATCCGGGTCAAGTGAACTTGGTGTGTATTTATTTCAGCTTGATTTCATATGGCAATGTCCAAGCCGCTTCCCAAAGGAAAAGGAACAGAAACTGAATACATAAGATGCAGAAATCTATAAAAAAAATATAGCTATCAGACATCAGTAAGTGTCATCCAGCAGAAAGGACAGCGAGCTGAGCTTCCACTGCCATGCTGCTGCTGCAGTAAGGACAACGGGGTCCTAGGTGTGTGAAAAAGAATGTGCAGCCACACAGAAAGGTGAAATTATCTCACAGCATAGTGCTGTGGGAATCCTTACTGATACAACTGATGAAATATCACCTGTTTTATAGCGCACTTGGATGAAGCATTAGGAAAGAGGTTAGAAGGAAGCAAAAAGAATATGCATCAGGCTCCCAGACTCAAGTAAGAGGGGCTGAACCACACTCAGTTCGTTCAGCTTGTCCAACAGCCCTGCTCTGCCTGGTACTGCACAGAGCAGGTGTCTGCAGGGTTGCAGCTCTGTGCAGCAATACATAGGTGACACAGCAAGGAATGTGCCAGCAGATTAAACGGAGCTGATCTTGGCCTTTGAGGACCAGCAGAGAAGCACAAGAGCAGAAAGGATCATGCACAACAACAGCATTGAAACATTGATTTTAGCTCGGATAAGCCTGACAAATCCCTTCTTCTTCCTAAGTCATAGTTTCTCATCCGTCAAACAGATATAACGTAGTGGTTGATCCTGACCTCCTCCTCATGAGATTTTTTTGCTCTTTGCTCTGCTTTGCACAACCTCTCTCTCCCCAGAGCCCTCACTTGCACAGCAGGAGCCAGGTAAAGCATCTCTGCCATGCAGACACCTGCCCAGAGGTGGGGGCTGCCCACATCTGCTCTGCCCAGCTCCATGCTGTGCAGGCTTGAGCAGTCAGCACAAGGGAGCAGCCAGACCTAGCGCCCTCCCAGGGGCACAGAGCTGTCACGGTGGCAGTAAGCTGAAAGCCTGGTTTATTCCGAAACCCACAGGAAAATTCCATGCTGCAGGAAACCAGAAGTAAATTTCAAAAGCAATGCCATGGGTGCTATGAGTCATAGAAACTCCTGGGGATTGGAGCGATGAGACAAGCCCAGCTCTGCGCTGCGCCTGCTGGGAGATGCCAGGACAAGCTGAAGCCCCAAATCAACCCCACCTCGGCACATCCTTCTCAACCTTATTTTCTGCAGCGCCCCTGCATCAGTTTTAGAATCTCTGAGATGCAGAAGGCAGAATGATCTCACATAGAAAATGATGCAGTTCCAAGAAGTCTAACATTAGGACCTTTTCTAATGCACAGGAAAGGTGTGTAAGAGTGAGCCTGGCCCCCCTGCGTCACAGCGAGCAGCCAGGGTTGTTATATTATGTGACACAGAGCACAGCCTTTCCCCTCAGTGACTGCATATCAGTAGCAACAGGATCAGCCAAAGCAGGTAGGGAGGGACAGACTAATGAAGCACCTCCAGCAAGTTCTCCAGCACCTCACCAAGGTCCTACCAAGAGAGCATGGTGCTGCTCCTTACCCAATACATGCAGTTGCATCCTCACGAGTCATTCCACAAGCATGTGCCCAGCGATGCCACCGGGGCAGGGTCTGAAGTAAGTGGGAGATTGTTTCAGTGTAAAGCTAAGCCGTGCCAGGGAAAAATCAATAAGCTCACCTTTACCCTCTTTAATCCGATAAATGGCAATTGCTACAGATATCTCACCCATTCCTCCCAGATCTAATAGAACACAATCTTCTACATCTGGGATAATGATGGGAAGCTATTAGCTCTAATAGCACACCCTGCTCCCAGTGCTGTGCTTTTCTCCCAGCCCCCACTGAGCCCAAGCCCATCACACATCCCCCCACAGGATCTGTAGCCCACCCCCAGACGGCTCCCTGTTACCGCACAGACTGCAGTGCTTGTGCTGCTTGCATTCTTTCCTCCCTTTTGTCAAGCAAGACACGATGAGTCGCCTAACACTTAAAAACTCGCTGCGGTGCTAACAGGTATATCTCAGAAAGACGCTAATTAAATGAGCTGCAAATTACACTGTGGGCTCTGTGCAAATGAGTGGCCACACGCAGCAATTTTCTCACCAGTCCAACTGTGCATGTAGCTTTCAAAGGATGAAAAATTCTGCTTTCAGCAAGCTTGTTGAAATTCAGAAACTTTGCCAGTTTGCTAAAATAAAGCTCGGCTATGCAAAGCAGAAATCACACAAAATCAGATGTACCTGGCAGAGCAGGATGTCTGGAGGAGTTAGGCTCTAAAATGCCTGAAATGCCTCCACTTTTTGAACCTGCTGGACACTTCCCAGCAACAGGCTTGCAGGAGACCTCCACAGGAGCAATTTTTACAGTGCCCATATAAGATTTCATCCTTTCTGGAACCAGAGAAAACCTGGATTAAAGCCACACTCAGCAATCCATGCAGCAAAGAAGAGGAGCGGAAATTGTCTGGAATGACTGTGCCAGGTATCATGGCTGCACTGGAAACACGCCAGGAGCACCGGGCGGAAGGCATTTGTGTATGCATACATCATGGCTGCATTAAAAACCTATACAGTTCTGGTTGTGCTCAACCATCCCGGGGAAAAGGAAAAAGAAGTGTGTTTGTAGCTTGTTTGTCTACTTTCAACTCCAATCTTCTGCAACTCTGAGCCTACGTAGTTAGGACGGAGTTGTGATTGCTTCGAGTGCACAGGCCACCCTGTTTGGAGATGGGGAGGAAGAAGGTCTCAGCAGCACATACATAAACCCAGCTGCTTGTCAGGAAAACAAGCCCTGGCCTCCTGTATTTATTGCATTTATTGCTGCACATGTGGCCAAAGATCATAGAATCTTGGGTTGGAAGGGACCTCAAAGATCACCCAGTTCCAACCCACTGCCATGGACAGGGTTGCCACCCACTAGATCAGTCTGCCCACTCTCAAGAAATGCAGTTTCCCATATAAAGCCCCTCTCAATCCAGCTCCACAAAACAGACAGAGCCGAGCTCTCGGCGTGCATCTGGCTCCGGTGCACGGCTGCCTCTGCGGGGGAGCAGGGAGCACACAGGCAGCAGGAATGCCAGCAATGCCTGCTATGCGCGTCCGGCGTGCCCCCCAGGTCGGGGGACATCCCACCAGGATGCTGCAGCCCAGCCAGCCCCAGCAGTGCTCCCATGTCCTTTGGCAGCACGTGGGGGCTCCCAGGGTGTCCTCCCCAGGGCCCCCGCTGCTGCATAGGGTGCCCATGCACTTCTGCACGAGTCTCTCTGGTGCATCACATCTGCAAGTTCATGTCTTTCTGACAACTTGCATCTGTCCCATGTTATGCTGCACCGAGGCAGCTCAAGTACACGTTTCAAACACATCATTCATCACAAGAAGTCATTATTTTATCTTAATCGGCATTCCTTCCATCATCCAGAGCTTCATCTGCACATTATCTAGGCTATGCTTAAGTTTGTCCATATAGGTCAACAAGGGATGTTTTGTTTTGTTTTGATCTGTTCTTAAACATGGGGGGTTACTGAAGTTCTCAAAGCCGTTCTCTCTGTGCCTGTCCTCTCACGCTGATGTAGAGCTGTGAAACCTTGAGGCTGAGCTGCTGATTTCAGAAGCTGGATCCCAGGTGTCTTTTCCCAGGACAACGTTGGTTCCAGGGAACTTGAAGGAAGGAAGAGAAAACAGCTGCCCATGAGCCTTGCAGAGCTCCCGATGGTGTAACATATCCTCAACCCAGCTCAGAACGAAGGTGAGCAAACCTAACGCTAACAAAACACCTCCCAGCCACTGGGCAGGCAGGGCAGCGTGCAGAAGTGTATGCAGGAAAAGCCCACAGGCTATTTACGTACCAAAATTTGAAACTAAAAATCTGTGCCACAATGCCAGACCCCTCTAAGAGAGGCTGGAGGCTTCCCAGCCACACGTTCTGCAGGAGGGGAGCAGAGGAAGAGCCGCTCCGGTGGCTGCTGGCCAGGCATTATGTGACCGGAGAGCCCAGCATCCTGGTTGTCCCTATTTTGGAAACACTGATGATTTCAGAGCCAGATGACATCCCCTGATCTGCTCGCCACCAAGTGAGCCTGCTGCTGGCTGGCCTGCAGCTCACCCATGTGCTGCTGGTTACTTGAACTCAGAGCTTCCATTTGCACATAGCCATTTACAGGCCACGGACCTGCTGGCATCCAGCATCCAAAACGTCACACAGCAATGCTCTTAGGCCAGCAGAAGAAAACAAATGTACCTCTCCTACAAGCCATATGCTGCACCCCTCTGATTGTAGTGGTGCCAGCGATCCTGCACCCTGCACCAGGCACTCATCTCAGTGCGGGAGCAGGGGAAGATTGCAGCTGTGGGAAGGGGAGGGCTGTGACCCTCACCCCAAGGGGAAGGAAGGAAGGAGCTCAGTCGTAGCACTCACCCGGATCCGCCGCATGGCTGTCACGATCTCCACCCTGCTGTTTGGCCGTGGTACATCCAAGCTGCCTATGTACTGCATGGAGAGAAATAGCGGGTTAGCCCTGTTTGCATGTCACTGACAGCTCCGGAACCTCACAGCCTCGCATTGCCCTGCTGCACCCACGCACAGCCCAGCATTTTGCCCACCATACCCAAAGTGCTGCAAGCAACAACATCTCCTCCCACCCTCCCAGCCCTCTCCCTCCCCACAAAGAGCAGTTGCCCTAAATTTCCCAGCCTCACTTTCTGCCTGCTCCTGCCTTGTAGCATGGCTTGCAGACAGCGGTCACATTTCCCCTCCTGTGTCACCTTTTGCTTCTTTAGCCGGTCCTCATGCGAGCATCCTTTCTGTTTGACAGAGTAAGAGGCTTTCTTATAGGAAAACCCTATAATAGCTTGAATGACTAAAATGGGGCAGTCCTTTGTATGCTGCACATGGCTCAGAAGCCTGTTGGATGCTGCACAGCTCAAGTTTCCTACCATAGAAAGGGAAACAAGGATCTATACCCATTGTCTCATTCTTCATAGCATTCCCGCTTGCAAGAAAGAGCCAGATTAATCTCGTTAACAAATCAAGATGAAGAAGTGTGAACTGTACAAAACCCTCAGTGCCCCCAACCAGCGGCAGCAGGCTTTGCCCCTACCACTGCTGCACAGAGCCCATCTGGGTGCAGACCACGAGCTCCCCTCAGCACGTGCTGAGCCCACCTTCAGCCCCGCAGGGATCCCATGGGCAGGCAGATGGTGACAGTGCAGGACCTGGCAGCTGATGCCATGAGGACACGCAAAGAGAGGGGATATAAAAATAAACATCAAACAGCTGGCTTGCTCATCATGTGCCGTGGCAGTGCAGGACAGCCTTACGCAACCAGGAATTAAGCCCCACGATGCAGCCACAGGCAGAGGCAGCACTCACTTTCTAAACCCCAGCAGCTAAAGCCTGACTGCAAAAGTAGCAATTACAGCCCCTAAACAGATTCTTCCCGTCCAGAATCAAGGGTTTATGTTTTATTATGAGAGGTATCTTTGCCATGAATTTACTTCCCTTTTTTTATGTCAAGCCTGGAGAGCATCAGTAGGAACTCTTGGCCACCAAACAACCCCACAGGGTGCACTTTGCTCAAAACCAGAGCATCCTGCCCACATCCCACACCCTGCTGCTGGCAGCAAGGACCTTAAGCCCACAGCACCTCAGCACATGGCTCACAGCCTTGAAACCGTCCACCTCTCCTTCACTCTGGAAACAGACAAAGCCTCGCAGTGTGATGAGTATCTCCCCAAAAATGCAGCCGGTGAGGTCAGCCTTACAGGGTGAAGGAGTGAGGATGGCGTGAGAAAGCACTGTGCTTATCAGCACCCCCAGCCCTCCCACCCATAGCTCTGAGCTTTGCTTGAGGAAGAGGTGTGGGAACATCCAGAGCTGCTGCTGGGAGCAGGGCCGCCCTGTGTAGCTTCCCCATCCCTTGGGAGGACAGGCAGCATGCCCAGAGGCCCTTGCCAGCTCAGAGAAATACCAGCTCTCCCTGGGCAGGAGGAAAATAAACACGAGAAATCTGGGAAATACATTTTGCAATGTTTGCACAAATTATTTAGCTTCTGTGTTCTCTTGGTGTTTTTTCATTTCCTTGAGGTTGTTCAACGCTCTCCTGCCCCCTCAAAAGCAAATTCCCTTGAGAAGGTGATCTGCCTGAAAAAAAAACACAGGGATGCCTCCCAAGCGGTGTCCGTGGGATCAGGAAAGCCTTCATGAAGAGCAAGCATGTCAGCACCCCGCAGCCCTGCATCGTGCAAAGGTCAGGGCTGAATCATCCCACTGGGAAAGCCCAAAGCAGCCGCCTGGAGCCTCGCCAGCCCCAAGAGCTGCCCTGAGATAAGGAGCCAGCAGCGGGGGCAGAGCTGCTGGTGTGGGAGCTGGAGGCAACACCAGTCCCAAATTCTGCCTGGATTCCCAAGCTACTCTGCTAGCTCCCATAAGAAGCAGCACAGCATTCTTCTGCTGTGCCACTGTCATAGACACTGTAGCATGGGAGTGAAAAGTCAAGGCAGAGATTGCACTGGGGGGTCAGGGCAGGCGAGGGGAAGCACACCCCAAAGCTTGGGGCAGCATAATGGGGAAACCCATAGCTGTGATTCCATCATTGCTGCCTGTACATATGTCTGCAGGAGCCTTGTCCTGCTGGAACTGCTTTCCCAGAGCAGCCCAGGGGGATACATCCCACCCCCTGTTCTGCCCTGTGAGGGGAGAGGCTGGCTCATAACCAGCAGGGCAGAACTGAGCTGACAGGAATGGAAAAGTTGATGTGCCAGCTGACTTCAATGGAAAAGCCTCCTCTTCCTGGCCCTGACCAGTCATGTGCCCAGGAGCCTGCAGCCTGCCAGTCCGCATCAACTGGGGGTAGGGCTGGTGGGACAGCATCATGCCAGAGGGTGATGAACACACTGTACTGTCTCCTTCAAAAAGACCCAGAGGAGAGGTTTGGGAACTCCTTTATCACAATGATACACTGGCAGAGAGGAAGCAGTGCCAGGCTCTGGGAGGATGAACTCCCAACAGGATGGGAAACCACTGCCTGTGCTCCATCCTTGTGCACACACTGTGCTCCAAGTTCTGCTGCACAGCCACAGAGCTGCCCCAGGGCCCCTCTCTGCAGTTCTGCCAAGTCCCAGCAGAGAGCTTTGCTGGGAGCTCCAGTGAGCAGCCTCCAAACTGACTTAACAAGTATGGCAAAAATATGCCACTGCTGCAGAGGAGAACTTCTGTGGTGCTCGGCAAGGTTATTTATAGCCTGCAGCGAGCAATCCCGCGCTGCAGCTTTGCTGCTGGTGAGCAGACCTTGCTGAGCGCCGTGTTCAAGAGCTGCCAGCACCAACACCCCCAAGCACTGCTGCCAAACCCCTCCCAGACACCTGGAGGTATGAGCTTCAAGCAACCTGTTTCCAACTCCCAGCACTGCCCGGCTGCCAACAAGCCCAAGCAGGGGATGGAGAAATGCCTACAAAGGCAGCCTGCAGCAAGGCACAGAGATGGATGGCCCAAGTTGGAGGTGCCTGTATCTCTCCTGCTTCAAACTCTGACATTTGCTTGCACTGGCACAGCCCTGTGAGGGGCAGGCAGGCAAGTCAGCTGGATCTGGCAGGATCCGCAGGAAGGAACACGCTGGATCCGAGCAAAGTCTCTTCCATGTCCTGTCTCCAAACATAGACAGCGGCAGATGCTCGGTTCATTCTCAGTTTCCCACGCACGAAAGTGGAGAAAAGTACTGACAAACATGACAGAAAATGCATGGTTGCCAAGAACCTCTAAGGGGAGTACAGAATTAAAAAAAAGCCCACCCAAACCAACCTGCAGGCAACAGCAGCAGCAATCCTCCAACCCACTCTCATTTATCTGCTCACAGGCCTGCTGGCAGGGCACGTCCTGGTGGCTCTGCATGGGCACCCCAGGCATCTCCTTCTCCAACACCTGAGCTGCTCTTGGATTTCATCCTCCAGTTTTCCCTTTGGGAAAACAAAGCAGGCTCGTGTGCCCTTCAGCCTGCCCCAACTGGAGGAGCCGTGATGGGAGGAGGTGGACAGAAGGTGTCTTTATTCTCTAAATACTTATTTATTTAAACAGGAAACCATTGCACAAGTGGGGATTCATGCCAGCTCCCCTGCGACACGCTGCAGCTCGCAGCTCTTTCATCCAAGCGCTTCAGCACACCCAAGAGGCCCAGCTCTTGATTTAATCCAACAGTTCTGACCACAATGGGCAGAAAGTGAAGCCAGCTCCTCCAATTCCCACCAGCTTGATCGAGGCACTTCAAAGATGCGGAGACTTGCAGTGCCAAGAAAGGTGGCCAGCAAAAACAGATCTAAAAGTGCGAACTGCATTACTACTCCCTGAGAAGATGGAGCGTAATTCTCCAGTTATTGGGTTTATCTCCATAAAATGGATTACTGTAAGGCTTGGAGAGTGCCCTGCTTGGAGAGCATCCCTATGCCAGAGTATGTGACTGCAAACAGCTCTGGTGGCGGCACCCTCAGCCACACCACATACTCTCATCACCCCGTGCTTGGAAAGGGCCAAATCTGCACATCCCATCTGCAACAAGAACAAAGGTGGTGGGCATGGGACCAACACTGGATATCAGGGAGAAGAGGAGGAGGAGCAAGGCGCAGCTCAAGGCAGAGGCCAGGCTGCTCACAATGCCCCATAGCCCCCAGGGCTGCCCCACCCACAAAAACACATAATCCTGCCCAGGGCTTGCAGGGATGGATTTCTCCTTTTGGTGTTGCTCTGCTCCAAACCCTAGCCTCCCGTTTCCCCACCCAACAGTGGGATGTGTGCTCTGCACCTCTCTCCAATGAGAGCTGTGTGAGTTTCAGTGCCCAGGATTCATGGGGATAAAAGGAACTAAAAGAGTGTAAGCATTTAATTAATCTCCACCAATCTAATAAAAGGATGGAGTAATTGCCTAAGCCATCTGCATTCTGCATCTGGCATTGGGAGCTGCTGGAGAAATACACAAATTCAAGAGTAAGGCTTCATCCAGCTCGTGCTTGCCATGAATGTGTGCCACAGGATACAAAATAAGAGAAAGGAGCTAACAAAGACTCATATGCACCGCCCCAGAACCCCACAGAGAAGAGACGAGCAGTGAGCAGACCACAGGCGATAAAGCCACATCCTCCTCTTCACCCAAAACCTCTGCTCCCACCCTAAGCCAGACAGGGAAGAGGCAGAGCAGCCAAGAAGCTGTAAAGTGATTGAGAAGGGAGCTGCTGTGCAGCAGGTGCTGGCAATAACACTGCAACCAGCTGCAATAACCCAGGAGAAAAGGATGAAAAACCCAGTCGTTCCCAGGAGCAGTTCCAAAGCAGGTTGTAACTCTGTTCCATAGACAACTGCACCGTGCTGCTCTCTGCAGACCTTGCCAGCCGTGAGCAGAGAGAACATGCAGCCCCTGTGCCCAGCAGCAGGACAGGGAGTTGTCCTCAAGGCACCATGCAGAACTGGATGCCATGGCTCCGATCTGTCTCCTGCCAGCACCTCTGGGCAATGGGATACAAGGGACGGGTGCTGCTCAGAAACTCTTCTAGACTGTTTTTTTTTTTCCAATCCAGACTCACTGGAATAGCTCACTGATGTGACAACTGTAACTCCATGAATAGCAATGGAGACAGGGATTTAATGGCTTTGCTTTCCAAATTCCACTGCTATCTCCCCCCAGCTACCTGCCCGCGGATGGGCAAGGCAGACAAATGCTCAGCACTCTTGGGCTGCAAGCACCAGAGCCGTGGGACACCACAATGCAGTACGAGCCTGAGGTCCCAGCAGGAAAAAAAAAAAAAACACCACCACCAGAGCTTCCTGCCAAACACACTAGCGAGAATGATTTATATTTGCAAGGGGAAACAGCAAGTGTTTGCTTGGGACCAGCACTGACCTCTCCCAGAGCTCAACACATGACACGCAGTCCCTCCACCCATTCACCCCAAGTTGGGGAGAGCCGGGGTAAGGGGCTCCCGACCTCACCTGTGCCCCAGGACTGATGCTCCTATGTGATGCTAAGGAAGGGTGAAGGAGCAGGTCACCGCCTGACCCACCCGGCCACCCTGTGGGATAGTCGGAAAGACTCACTCAACTCTCGGCAGCCGAGTCTGGGGGAAAGGGCTCCCAGGGGCAAGCGGAGAAAAGAAAGAAAATCACGGGAGAACGGGGGAGCGGGGAGCACCGGGAGACGCGCGCTAGCTGCCCACCTTGGCCTCGAAGCAGATGCCGTGCTGGAAGGCGTCCTCGTTGTGCAGGGGGATGCGGAGGTCGTGCCGGTCGTCCACCAGGTTGTACTTGGACTTGGCGGGCATGGCGGCCCCGCGGTGGCCGGGCAGCCCCGCAGCGCGCCCGGCGCCGCCGCGCAACCTCCGCCCCGCACCGCCGGCCGCCCCCGGGGCGGGATTGCGCCGCCGCGCAGCGCCGAGGAAGGGAGGAGCGGGGGGCGCGGAGCGAGGCGCAGCCCCGCTGCCCCAGGGAGGGAGGGGCCGGGAGGATTTCAAAGAAATAAATAATTGAATCAAAATAAAAAAGCACCCGAAAGGGGAGCTGACGGAGGCACCGCTGACATCTAGTGCGCGGCCCCGGCTCTGCACCCCAGCGCTGCGGAGGGATTTTTATAAGGGTGGAGAGCACGGGAGTTCTCCAGGTAGGGAGCTGAGCCCTGGGATGCTGGGTGCTTGGAGCTACCCTGAACGCTCCGGCCCTGGAGATTAGTGGCCATGTGGAACCCTACCCCTTGCAAATACCAAAAGTCATGGAAACCAGGTAACTAGAAGTGGTATGATCTTGTCTTAGGCTTTGCAACCTGGCCACACCAAACCTTGTAAAAGCCCTCAAACACTACACATCAGTCCCACCTAGCTGAAGACACCCCAGTGCTGCTTTCTCCTCACACAGGAGCTCACCTGCGTGGCACTGAGCACGAGCCGGGGCCCTAACCTCAGCCATCAAGGCATGAGGCTCTGTCCCCAATCCAGCCTTGCATAGCAGATCCAGGGCTGTTCTCAGTGCAAATCAGCACGGTAAAACTTTCCTTGTTTAGAGCTGCGCTGTTTCAGCCACATTTGAAAGTGTTTTGCTTCCTTCCATTGGAGCGGACTTTCCGGAACCAGCAGCAGCCAGAGGCAGGGCCAGGCACCAGGGAGATAAGAGCTGCCTGTGCTCGGCAGTGCCACGAGGTGTGTGGGAATGCTTGTTTTGTCTCCAGCATTTTGACCTCTTGCTCCTGTTAGGGGGACAGCCACACAGCCGAAAGTCTAAAGCTAGAATCTGGGGCAAGCAGAAGGCAGTATTGGGTAGACAGCACTGAGGCTGGGTCTGTGCCTCAGCCTTCGGTGCTCTGGGCTCTGGCTGAAGCTGTTCCACCTCTCAGGAAGGTTCAGCTGACAGCACTGCAATCCCAGGTGCTGGGAATCACCCAGTCACTTAAGAGGCCTCCTGAGGATTCCAGCCCTGTGCAGGCCCAGCACAGCTGCGTTAGCTGCAGCAGTGCCCAGAACAAGCCTGCAGCTGAAGGATGCACTTCTCAGCCTTTGGGCTTCCCGTGCCAGTAAGCCACAACGTGTAACAAAGCTGCTCTTCTGCAGCCCAAATGCCTGCCTGCAGCACTCTGCAGAGACTTGTGTGACATTTCACTGAGCTCCGCTTTCCTCGTAAGCTTATATCATAACAGTGACACCTGGAAGAGACAATGTCCAACCCTGGACCCGCCACCAGCCCACACTGGGAGCACCTGGCCAGGCCCCGCTCCAACACACCAGACTCGGTGCCCCTCCAGATCCCCCCAGTGAGCATGGAGGGCACCAAACCCTCACACTGTGTTTGTTCTGCACACCCAGAGCCCATTCCCTCCCTTCCCAAAGCAGCAATTACACCCCACAGCCACACACACAAGCGGTGCAACCGGTTGTTCGCTTGTTGTTTCAGCCCTGTATGCTTCCGCCCCGTCGAGGCCGGGCACTTTGCCCGCACTTGCACAATGGGTGGCAGGGACAAAGGTCCCCAGTGCCACACGGGAGGGCGGCAGTAGGCTGGCGTCACACAGGGCAGGGACACAAACGCACCAACGGCACGGTGGGAAGGAATCCGCCATCCAAACAAATAGGGTTGCTTAAACGAGCTCAGGCGCTTGGGGTTGGCCGGGACAGAGCGCTGCGGGCTGCTCAGAGTCCCTACGTGGGCACCGGGGTGGCACCGGGGTCCCGTCCCGGGCACAGGCAGCACCTGCCCGCTAGGATGGCGATTCCTGGCCCTGCCCTGCCACCTCCCGGCTGCGAAGAGCAACGCCAGAGCGTGCACCGACCCCGAGTCCCAGCCCGCAGCTCTGCCTTTGCGCTTCGAACGGAGCATCCCTGCGGTCGCACTGTGTCTCTGCCACCTGCACGGCGCAGCGGGGAGAAGCGCTGAGCAGGGCGGCACTGAGAGCAGCCCGTTTTCTGTCTAATAAAACCGGGTGATTAACATCTAAATTACAACGATTGGAAAGGAAGCCAAAAGTTCAGGAAGGGAGGAAGGCAAGTATGCTAGAATTAAGGCCAGGAACTTGCTGGCGTTTGGTGACATTTTGTTCTGGGAAGCTGGCAGCGCTCTCTCACATCAGCCAAACATGCACGTGTGTATTTATTTTAGAGGTGTAACCAGGAACAGCTTCAGGGGTGTTTTTAAAGCCACAGATCCGCCGTTGATATCCACCAGAGTGGGAGCAAACTGTTAACAGAACAGCCTTTCAATTCACAGTTATCCCTGGTTTCTGGAACCCCCACAAACCACATCCTCAGCACAACCAGTTACAATGACTACTGGCAGATGTATCAATGTGTGTATTAACAGCTATGCACCTGCAAATCAGTGCTTACCCCTCAACACACAGCACTTCTTATCTCACAGCAGGCATAGCAACAGCCCCACATTGGACTAGATGGTCTCCGGAGGTCCCTTCTAAGCCCTACCCCACAATTCTGAGCCAGCCCTTTCCCAGCTCCCAGACAGGGCTGGAAGCACCTGCAGCAAGGCAGCATGGGCTGGGCACAGCCATCTGACACCACTTACCCCCCTGCACCCAACCACCACACTTAAGTTCCCATCTCCTTACATCACCACCTCTGCAGGTGCACTGAGGGAGTGGGACGAGCTGCACCTGTCACAGCAGGGAGCAAGGAGGAGCCATCACTGTGGGTGCTCTCCCCCATGAGTGGCTAATTGGATCTACTTTTAATATGGCTATAATTTGCCAAGGCTTATTTGCTGTATAATCAGACACATGGCTCCTTTCTTTAATTGCCTTGTAAATTACCAGAATGATTAATTTCAACACGAGCCTGTATACGAGTCCCTGACATATAGGGACTGGGGAGGATGGCTCACTGAGGACTGGGACAGCCTCACCCCACCTACCAGTGAAGCCTGAAGGGCAGGGTGTGAGCTCGTGTCCCCCCATAAGGGAACATATGGCTCTTGGATCCCACCCTGGTTTTCCCTTCCTACTCCTCCTTGGCCCAACCTGCTCAGCCCAGCTACAGTGTTGAGCGAGGAATTAAAGAGGACTTTGTTTCCAAACAATTGCAAATGCATAGCTTGAGAATCTGTAATTGAAACTCAGATCCTACTCCTGTTGCCGATGATGGATGACTTTTCCCTACTGCTCTGAGAGCCCTCGCAGAGCGCACGGCAGTTGCCGGCCTGACTCATGGCTCACTTCTCTATGTGATGGAAGTGAGCAGCCCGGCACTCATTACTGAGCTCTCATTAGGAACTTCTCCCGTTTTACCTCTGCCTTATTACTGGGGCTCTTGGCTCTACCTTCCAACTAAAAATCTTCTCCAGATGTCAGCAGCCTGCAGGGATATGGAGGGATGGGGCATGCGAGGGGCTAAAAATACACGTTCTCCCAAGAGAGAATCTTGCTGATTCAACTCTTTCCCATTCTCTTCCCATTCTCCTCGGGAGCCCATTCACTGAGCAGATGTTGCTTTTCTTTGTGTGATCAGCTTGAAAGCAACAGAAAACCATCCCATCCTCTAACAACTATTTGAGCACTGGACTGTACTGCTACAAGGTGCCCCAGCAGCCAGAACAGATGCTGAAATCACCTCCCTAAGCAAAGCACACACAGTGCTACTTATGTTTTTGTATAGTAAAGGAGCTGGGGCAGGGCCCCTTTTCTGGTTGTCCTGTTCATTCCTTTCTCTTACATAACTGCAGCTTCCTCCTTCTTTGGGAATGCTTATTTCTGGCCACACTTTTGTGTGCCATTGGTGCAGGGACAGCGGTGCCACCGTGCCATGCAGAGCTGTCCCAAGGCCGCCAGTCATGTTCTCCTCCTGGCCCTTTTACTTTCACCACCAGGAAAACACTTCATTCCCTTTATTTCAAATAAGATGCAGTCAACATGCTTTTGTACCTCCAATTTACCCCCCGTGTGCCTGCTGAGGACAGCAAGGTCAGGGCAGAGCCCAATGTCCCTTCAGCTCTGTGTCACAGAAATAGGATTTTGCACAGTCAGCATCTCCTCAGCTCTTGCTGAAACCACTCTGCCATTGCAAAGCTGGTTAACAGAGTGCGTCCACAGTATATAATTAATTTAATAAACCCTGATGATAAAATTAGAGGCTGCTTAATTCCTCATCCCCCACCGTGGCATGTAGGTGAAGCAGTTCACGTAGCCGCCACGACACAGCCCTGTACCCAGCAGCACACAGCAGCTATCACACAAGGGCCGAATTTCCAACAGAAAAACTTGGGTTTGGGCTGAAAAACGTAGGTGAGGAGGCAAGAACAGCTGGAACCCCGTGGTTGTGTAGCTCCCATGCTCCCCGTGCCTTGGCTGCAGGGACATGCGGAGCCGGCATGCAGTCCTGCTGCGGCTATCCTGCCATAGATGGCAGCAGCCGGCCGGGTTCGTGCTGGCTATGAGCTGCAAATCTCTCCAATTGCTCCAGATGCTGAGAGGGAAGGAAACGAGTGATGCTGAGAGCTTTTCCCTGGTGTCAGTAGGGCTCTCAGCATCAGAGGGCTGGGAGCTGCAGCTGGTCGATGCAGAGATGGCCCAAGCATGAAAAAGATGCTGTCCCCCTGCTTGCCAAGCAAGCATCTGACCCAGAGGGGTTATTTACCATGGGGTCAGCATGTGGGCATGGGTCTGCCACAGGGACAGGCCATGGGCACAGGGCACCCCAGCTCATGATGCTCTCTAATGACAGCTGGGCTGCTCTCTGCACACAGATGGGTGGTCGGTCAGCCAGGATCTCAGGGCTTGAGGGAGGAATCAGGTGAGTTTCTTCAGCCACTAACCCACAATCCCTTCTGTCCCTAAAATGTAAAAGAAATCTCCAGAGAAAAACAAATGCCA